ATGAAGAAAATAAAATATTTATAGTAGATATTAATTTAATATGCATACGGCCATGAAAATTTATTCAGTAATTATTGAGAAAACAAATTTTTCACTTCTGTTCAGTAAATAACTCGTTTGTGAATTAATGACTGAATTTATTAAATTCAAAGCATTTTATTGACCCCAAAGGGAAATTGAGTAAATAAATGTAATTATTTGGTTAAATTCTACATCAGGTTGTTTTCTCTTAAAGCGCACCAGTTCCTCCTGCCGCCCACAGCATGGTGCTGCCACCACCAGACTGCCCAGCTGGGGCAGTTAAAGCCCGTCTGTCCTTCAAACGTAACGATGCTCATAATGAAACAGACTTTTATTTCTCCAGAAATTAAACGTTCTTCCTGTTTGTTAATCGTTTCTTGTGACGGATTCTTCAGATCAAGTCAGAAAATGTTTCATCAGCACCTTCAGCTGCACAAGGTCTTAATACGTCCACAGGTAGCCTATCAGAAGCTTCCAGAGCTATGACATCATCCTCTTAAAGAGACAGAACTCCATTTCTACTGTAAGCTCCTGGGTTCTGCTGTTTAGCTTAGCTTAGCCTAGCCTAGCCTAGCTTAGCGATATTTTTCAGGAATCCAGTTTGACTGAAATAAAGAGGAAAATCTCGGCGTGTTTGTCTCAGTTTAATGTTTCATGTTGGCATCGTCAGATAAAAACGTCCGCCGACGTTAACAGACACACAAACGTTTGTTTACATGAGATCCAATAAATACGAGGAGTTACAGTGGTGGACTGTGGAGGTCAGAGGTCACCTCTGAGCAAAGACGCTTCAGTGACAAAATAATAAAATGTTCAAACTGATTCGGAATAAAATCACAAAAAGGCACAACATGTAAAAACAGTAAGTTAGATCAGAAGCAGCAAAATAAATCATTTATTTTAATTATATTTATTATAAATTTACATATTTTTACTCTTCAAATATTCAGTTTATTCTTTATTGTCCTAGTTAAATCATCTACAAACTCATTTATTGCATGCAGCCCAGAGTTAAAACGCCTGATCATCATCAGCATCGAGAATTATTCATTTCAACTTGCAATTAATTTCTAAGGCTCATAAATATACATACACCCTGTATAATATTTGGTTTCAGGTCTCAGAGCCTCGAACGATAATTTTACTGACATAAGAAAATAATTTAGCTTGAATTTTCTGAAGTTTTATTCCAGAACCAGAATAAAGTTGAACTGGCTGGACAGAGTGAGGATGAGGAGGAGGATGAAGAAACTCGAAGCACGACAGAGCCAAGAAAAAAATAACTACCAGAAAAAAGTCGGAATAAAAGTCGTACGACAAAAAGTGAGAATAAAATGGTAAAATGAGAATAAAGTCAAAATTAAAAGATTATTTTGAGCATCTGAACTTTGAACTGAGTTCATTGGAGGAAAGAATCAAATCTGGATGTTTATCGAACTTTTGCTTCATGAAACTTTCCTCTAGTCATTTTATGACTTTATTCTCCTAATACAGGGGTGGCCAAGTCCAGTCCTCGAGAGCCACCATCCTGCAAGTTTTAGAAGTATCCTTACTCCAACAGACCGGGATCAGCTCTACAGAGGCCTGATAACGAGCCAGTCATTTGATTCAGGTGTGTTGAAGCAGGGATGCATCTGAAACTTGCAGGATGGCGGCTCTCGAGGACTGGACTTGGCCACCCCTGTCCTAATAAAAAAATGAAATCTCAGTTTGAC